GGTAACGCATCTGCAATTGATGTCTATGGGCAGCGATCGCTTCGCTATTTTGGCGAATTCCGCATGTTCGTAATCACCTTAAAATATAAAAGATATTGTACAGATTATTGCATTTCACATGTAAACTATACGTGTATCTGTAACTATAAGTGTAACAAACTAATGTGGAACGATATACGAAAACAAGAATAAGCTTTCCAGAAAGGTTCACGCTTTGTTCATCAAAAGTTCCCGCATGTGAGTTGCAATAGAATTAAGTACTATGCAAACTAATTGTATTGTCTGTCAAGTTGTCGTCTTTGATTGTATAGAGAGAATAGAAGTTAAATATTGTTAAATGATTTAATAATTTTTATCTCTGTTTTTACTTAAGAACTACGAGTAAAAAACCACTTTATAAGTAACCTATGTGTTCTTCCAGACTATGTTCTACTTCTATATAAAATTTCGTAAAGATCCAATGAGCCGTACTGGAGATATCTTCAAACAATCATCCATCCATCTAAACATTCCCATTTATAATATTAGTGTTATGAGTTGAACGATAATTTCTTTTTGACATACGTTTTGACGGAAACTTTAGTTTTTTTATGAGATTAAGGGGCGAATGGACGGCGGGAACTACGAGGTGATTTGACCCCATGTATATAATTGAAACACCAGAAAAAGTGGTGATGCGTTTCAGATCTTTATGTAAAAACTTGTTACAATTATACCCCATGTCATCAGGGTATAGTGTAGCTTTCCAACAGTTAAAGAATTTCAACTTGCTTTAGTAGTTACGAAGTCTGTTCAATACAAACTATTAAATGTCTTTATTTGTTGGTCAGAAAAAAATATTTGAATTTTAATTTTAAACTTACTTCGAACTCAATTCGAAAAAGGTTTTATATTGAACAAAGCCGTATGATAAACTCAGTAATATGAAAACGAAACAATTATTAACATTCTTTTCTCTTTTTGTTTCAACAAAAAGTGCTAAACTCGAGCTAAGCGCGGGCAAATAAGTAGTTAAGTCGAGTGTAGGACAAAGGACTGCCTTGGGGTACGCGACTGAGCGCTGTTTAACAGCAAAGTCTATGTGAGGCGTTCAACACCGCATAGCTTTGCATGATTTAAGCAGCAAATGTCAAAGATTAAAACTATAATAAAATGTTAATGCAATTTAAAAAAACCTTAAAAATGAGTTTCGTTCCTTTTACGTAAAAATCTTAATAATATTATAAATGCGAATGTTTCGATGGATGTTTGTTAGAAGTTATCTCCGGACTGGCAAAATGAATGTCGCTGGAATTTGACATAGATGTAGAACATACCCTGTAAGAACGCATTGACTACTAATAGAGTTTTTTTTTAATCTCGCGTGGTTGGATTCGCGTGCGACAGCTAGTGTAATATAAACATAATGGTCATATTTGATTATTTTACAGAATAGGGTTAGTATTATTGTCTTTTTCTCAGCGTGTAGTTTAATGACAAAAAAATGCTAGAAAATGTAATATTAATATACTTAAACTTAATTTGTAAATGACTACGCTAAGGACCAACTCACACAATAAAACAAATTATTTTTTTATAGTGAGGTTTAATAATTTTGTTTTATTATAGGAAATAAAATTGTTTTATTTTTGTAGTCGAAGTAGTCTCGAGTCGTAGCGACAAATGTAGCGAGAGATAACGAGCAGTCTGCACTAAGCTACTTTAGTGTCGCGACACATTGGTATAACGGCGGCGAACCTACGCTTGACAGATGATCGTAGAGTTATTAAAACTCTATAAAATAGTGAAAAGTAACTTAGGAATATAACTAAATCTTACTTTTAGCAGCTAAATATTTCAACAAAAAGAATTCGTATTCTCATAGCAATCGAAAGACTGTCATTTAACTGTAAACTATTTGTAGTAGGTGTGTCACTACACTTATGGCTGATCTATTCTGTCGCCACTAACAACTTGTATTACCTCCTTGGTACTGCGTTTCAGTCTACTTATTGTACATAGGAGAATGATTTTATTTTTATACTAGCGGTCGCCCGCGACTCCGACAGCGTGGTATAAAATAATAAGTACCTGTTCTTCCACGCTACGTCTACATCTGTGCCAAATTTCAAAGAGATCCATGCTGCCTCTTCAGATACCATCTTTTAAACATTCGATTAGTAAGATTTTCCTTATGTGGGAAGCGGAAGGGGATTATAATTAGGCCTTCACCACGCACACTCATCAGAGGAAATGCGGAAGGACTTCCACTTGACGCCTGTCTTGTCATCTTTTCAAATTAAGGTGTGTACACACAATATAAATCACGCCTACAAAAACGTTCACAATAAATTATTTTATATAGTCGATTATAGTTGTTAACTAAAATAAAACTGTGCCAGTCACCTTTGTTGCAGATAGCAAACAGTTGTAACAAAGTGCTGGCAAAGTCCAACAAAGCTACAGTTAATTCTACGAGCTACGCAAAGTCAACAATGCTACAGTCAATTCGACGAGCTACGCAAATAAACAACCAAGGCTTTCCGCGATCGAAATTCTGATGACCCAACCTCTTTCGCACTTTAATTGCCACGTCAACGGATTGTGATTTTGTCTGAATCAACGAGAAAACGAGTTTGACTTTTTTTTTTATTTTTAAATTGATAGGCAGGTTCGATTTTCGTACGAGTATTTTTTGATGATTTTACGTTTTATCATACTGGCTGGTTGCGCGGAATTAAAAAAAAGTAATAAGTAGCCTATGTGTTCTTCCAGACTATGTTCTACATCTATGCCAATTTTCAGCGATACCTATGTAGCAGTTCTGGAGATACATTCTATAAACCATCGAAACATCCATCTATTCATACATCCAAACATTCGCATTTATTATATTAGTAAGACTAGAAGCACATTATCATATTGAAACATGGATGCAAAAATAACTTTATCTCAGTTTTACTGTTATTGTAATTTAGTTTGACTGCCCGTCCACCGGGACAAACAAGTTCGTCAGACTGTAAGTCCGTTTTTGCCCACTGGGTACAAAGTTTGTAGCACTATATTTACTTCTGTTAGCATGTCTTGACTGTTGAATTATGTTTGTGAAAGTATCTTACATCTTACTAATATTATAAATGCGAATATGGCAATGGGCCGTCCATATAACCCGAAGAACCGATAACCGGTGGAGTAGGCGAGTTCTTGAGTGGAGACCACGGGTCGGCGTAGCGTAGGACGTCCTCAGACTCGGTGGAGCAATGATCTTCGCAGGGCAGCTGTCAAGTGCTGGATAAGAGTGGCCGAGGATCGTGCTCAGTGGTGTGCCATGGGAGAGGCCTATGTCCAGCAGTGGACTAGTATAGGCTTATGATGATGATGAATGTTTAGATAGATGGATGGATGTTTGTTTTAATGTATCTCCTGAACGGCTTAACGGATCTCGATAAAATTTGGCATACATGTATAACAGTCTGGAAGAGCACATAGGCTACTATGTTTTTTTAATTCCTCGCTGACGGAGTCGCGGGCGACTGCTAGTTTTGCATACATTTTAAAATGCAAAGATGGTTGTATGTAATAACCTTCATAATTATACTCTACCGAAGTTATCTAAGTTCATAGCAAGTACATTTAAATGCATAGCAAGTTCTGAACTTGACTATCAAGAGATTGCGAACTTTTGTAGTTTGCACTTTATTTTACTCGCTTGATTGGAATATTAAAATGCAGTTTTTCATTTATCTTTTACAATTCTGCGGAACACCTGAACAGAAACATATTGTTGTTCTAGTTTTCGATTCGTTGTGATTTTTTTTTAGTAAAACCAAAAGTTTGACGTAAATTTAAAAATCTTCGACAGTGTTTTTATTTTATTTTAGTTTGATACCACCCAGAGGACAAATGTGAAATGGAAGTTATTCCGTGTTTCGTCTGATGAGTGTACCGGAGGCCTAATTTTAGTAATTTAGAGGAAAGAATAGGAAGAGATGCCGGTATTGACAGAGGAGGGGATTTGACGCTTAGGATGTAAAAAATTCTCTTTCTGTGCTTCCTCTTGCTCGCCGATTGGTGATACATATTTAGGGTAAAACAAGCTCATTTATAATCTCTTTGACGTCCATATTAATCACTGGCGATCGAAGAGTAAAAACACGTGTTTAACTTAACAAAGTCGAATTGTATTTATAGATTAACTAGTTGTTGCCCGCGACTCCGTCCGCGCGGGATAAAAAATAGATGTTGCCCGATTCTCAGACCTACTCAATATGCTCACAAAATTTCATGAGAATCGGTCAAGCCGTTTCGGAGGAGTATGGGAATGAAAATTGTGACACGAGAATTTGATATATAAGACTAGCTGTCGCCCGCGACTCCGTCCGCGCGGGATAAAAAATAGATGTTGGCCGATTCTCAGACCTACTCAATATGCTCACAAAATTTCATAAGATTCGGTCAAACCGTTTCGGAGGCGTATGGGAACGAAAATTGTGACACGAGAATTTTATATATAAGATGTAGTAAATATCTAATTTATTTATCTTAAATTAAGCTTTAAAAAGAGTCTTATAAAAATACTGAAATAGCCCATAAAAATATTTTCTAGAATTTATGGAAATTTCAACATAAAAGCGTGTTTAGAAAATATATGAAAGGATTCACGTATTGAAAACGCACAAAAATATTTCCTTGTAAATGTCAATCCAATTAATCAAGGATCCAAAGGTCCAAGGACTCTTGACTGACCTCCTTCAATAATGTATAGATAATTAAAATCGCCATTAATTATTTCGATAGCCCCGTAACATCCGATTTACCGAACTGTACAACTGACTACAGAACGCTTAATATTCCAAAACGTAATATTTCAAATAAAATGCAAGCGAAATTAAATTCTATTCCAATTGAATAAGATAGATATTCATCTGGTTTGAATATAGACATGCGCTGTTCTAAATGTAAAGTAAATGAAAACTGCGTTCCATCATTTTCCTCGTACCTCAGTATTCGGTCAGCAGTGCGTCAGGAAAGACGTCGCTTACGCTTCGTATGTACGTTGATTTATTCGTAGTTTTATAGTGAATAACAATATTTGAATCCCATATTATTATCGTTAATAAAAGTGTTATTTTAATTTCACTTTGAAGTATAATAAAGTGGTCATTACGAGAGTCCTGATACGATATAAAGGTAAGATTTTATTGATAATTTAACAATGGTTTTTGGGTATTGTATATTTTTGTTTTATTAAATTCAATATAAGGTAGAATTACACTGTTATAAATTGGTCGAAAAAAATGATAGCAGAATAAAAATGAGAAGATTCTTTAGAGGAGTATTTATAAAAAAATATTTGCTACCGTACAAAATACCTATACCGTAAATTTATATCTTACTAACATTATGCGAATTTTGTATGGATGGATGTTTGTTAGAAGGTATCTTCAGAACGGCTGCATGGATCTCGCAGAAAGGTATAGATGTAGAACATAATCTGGAAGAACACATAGGCAACTTTTTCTTAATCCCGTGCTGAGAGTCGTGGGCGACAGCTTATTGCCGAAATAAATATACAAAAAAGTATTGTCATCCCTTTCATTTTTAATGCAAAAAACAGAGATAGTACTATTTACAGACAGTAGAAACCAAGTAATGAGTTGGTTTATAATTAATGATTGTGAAGGAAAATAAGTAATTGAACGTCAGGGACATTTTTTGTAACAATCTACTTTCCAGTCTGAAAACGTACTTCAACATTATTAGTCTTTGGTAATTTGAATTTGGAACTCTTGTTTATATTGGAACAAATGGAATAAATAAACATAAAATTCATATGATTACGAGGGAAGTCGTTGGTAATGTTTTATTACTAATATAATAAATGCGAACGTTTGGATGGATGGATGTTTGTTTGATAGAAGGTATCTCCAGAACGGATGCATGGATATCGCTGAAATTTGGCTACTGGGCACGTAGGCTACTGATCAAGTTTTTTTTTAATTATGCACCGATAGAGTTGCGGGCGATAGATAGATGGATGTTTGTTAGAAGTTATTTCGGGAACGACCCAACGGATCCTGATAAAATTTGGCATAGACGTAGAACATAGTTTAGAAGAACGCATAGGCTACTTTTTAAGTTTTTTTTCGAATTAAGATGGAGTCATGTCAAAAGCCATTATAATAAGAAATAGAAATAATATCCACCTTTAAAATCCAATATTTCTTGTACTTTTATATTTCTTCTATAGCTTTCAATTACTACAAATTGCTCTACTCAACTCCGGCTGAAATTCAAAAATAAGTGCTATAACCTTTCAGGCGAAGAAAAGTCAATCGACTCTTACAATAATCGACTTAGTTAGCGTAACTCTCAATATAGAATTGACTTAATTAAAAATAATGAACTTTAATCGTACTATTATAAACCAGCTACTGCCGCAACTCCGTCCGGGCGGGATGAAAAAAACTTAATAAGTAGCCTATGTATTCTTCCAGACTATTTTTATGTTATTTCAGCGAGATCCATGCAGTTGTTCCTGTGATACGTTCAAACGAACATCCATCCATCCATCTAAGTGAGACGTAAGATGTTAATGTTTAGATGGATGGATGGATGGATGTTTCTTTGAAGTTATCTCCGGAACGGCTCAACGGTTCTTGACGAAATTTGGTATAAATATAGAACATAGTCTGGAAGAACACATAGGCTACTAATTAGGCTTTTTTTTATACCGCGCGGATGGAGTCGCTACTACAACTATTTGAAAATAAGGAAATTAATTTTAATTGTATAAAATAACAGTTAAATAAATTGCGCAGTTACTAATAATAAATACAGTGCTAAAGATAATCCTCTGAAGTACAGTTGAGTGCAAAAGTTTTCATTATCAGCAACAAAGTTTCGAACTGTTTAACCAACTCAATTACGTTGGCGATGAAAAGCTTTGTTGTGGACTGTACTAATGCAGTTTAGTGTGGTACAGATTAATTTTAAATTTGAATATTTTTTAACAAGAGCCAGCACATGCCATCTTTTCCTCGAATAGGTCTCGCCCAGTGCAATACTAGGATCACATATAAGAGACGCTTCAAATGCAAGTATATCCGCGTTTCGTCTGATGAGTGTGCGTTCCGGAGGCCTAATATAAGTCCTCGTTCCCTGCCCACCCCATTTCGTGGTGAAGTAGTTTTGATGGAGGAGAGGATGCATAGTAAGGGGAAATATTCTCTTTCTGTGCGTCTTTAATTTCGGTTATCTATGGGCAGTCGCTTCACCATTTAGGTGGCTGCTTGTTCGTTTACCATATCTTTATATATATAATTCTTCTGTGAGTGTGTATGTCACTGAACTTCTCTCAAACGACAGGACCGATTTTGACGAAATTGTTCGTGTGTGTTCAAGGGGATCTGGGAATGGTTTAGATTCACAATTTTGTCCGCTGGACAATGTTTTTTTAATTAATTTTTAATTTATTAGTAGTTGTTGATTTTGGAATGTTTTACATTGGATTCCATAGACGGCGCTACCATCGCAGTGTCATTTGTCAGACAACGTCTGTCGGGTCCGCTAGTTATTATATAAAATTAATCTTGCATAACAAAAAAATATATCAAAATAATATAGTTTTTAATTCTTCACTTTTATTCTTTTACACTTTTAAAATATTCTATTTATTACTTAAAGCAAATCTTTTGTCTCTTAATATAGTACCTAAAGCCACAGGTTTCTTTGTGTTACCAAAGTACATTCAATCTGAATATCTGAGTGTGGTCTTAAGTTAACTCCGAGTGCTCCAGGCCTTTGTCTATGTTTCTAGGAACACTGCACAAACTTAAGGAACTTACTAACGTTATAATCAACTAACTGACGCCTGCGACTCCGTCCGCGTGGATTAAAAAATCTTAATTAGTAGTCTACGTCTTCTTCCAAGCTTCTACATCTACGTCAAATTTCATTGAGGTCCATGCTGCCGTTCCAAAAACATCTTCTATCAAACATTCAATCTAAACTTTCACATTTATAATATTAGTTGATAGATGTTTTTGGTGCTGTTCTTTTAGATTTATGCATTATCAGCTTACCATAAGTTCCCACTGAGGGGCTCGGAGCCTACCCTATGTTAAGGGTGAATAGGCCATAGTCAACCACGCTGGCCAAGTGCGGGTTGGTAGACTTCACACGTATCTTTTGAATTTCTTCTCAGATATGTGCAGGTTGCATCATGATGTTTTCCTTCACCGTAAGAACGTCGGATAAATGTACATATGTAAATCGGAAATCGAAAAACACATTGGTACATGGCGGGATTCGAACCGAGGACCTGTATAGTGCAAGTCAAGTGCTTTACCCCTGAGCTACCAACGCTCTAGTCTAGTTAGTCTAGTTTTATGCTCGGCTGTTAAATATCATTTCATGTTTAAAATCCTATAGCATATACATTTTCCAAATTGTTTTACTAAAGGCTAGTATTAGTAAGGGTTTCTGCGACTCCACGATTAGGGAATATTCTTATTTTGTGTGATGAGTGACGTTCCAGCGCTAAAGCTTTATTTCACGAGTTTAAGCGATAAATATATTTACGAATGAAATAAAAAACCTCAAAGAGTAATAGATAGCGAGGGAACAATGGACAAAGTGAAACAAAAACATTAAACGAATAGCTTTGGGGCCACCGGGCGTGATTTAAATTAATTATTTTACACCGAGACTCTTACCGCGTTCTCTAACACACTTATAAAACTAAAAGATACATTCTTGTGCGTCCTTTCGAGATATCACGCTTAATCTAGTATAGACAGAGTCTGTAATCAGTTGATTTCCTACTGAGGAGCTTTAGCCTTACTTTAGACATGATAATTTTTCGCAGATATGTGCAGTTTGGATCATGATGTTTCCTTCTGTTGTAAGGACGTCTATTCGGTTCTCAGGGCTAGAAGCGGATTCGAATTTCGCTTTCGTATTTCTATATGATCAAGGGGATTATCATGAAAAGCAAGAAAGTATTTCAATACTAAAACTAAGAGATTTGTGTACTTTGCGTGCAATGGTACAAATATCAATGACGCTACGTACATTCGCAATTTTTCGTGCTAGGTTACCATGTTGTTCTTTGGAATTTATTTAACTTCGTCTCTCGGATTTAAATTTAAAAGCAAATTCAACCGCACAACCTGATAGTATAATTTATCATTACGCTAGATCTAGCGCGACTCAAAGGACTGACCGCAGCGTAACTAACTTCTTATTTCTTTGATATACGAGATATCCAAGAGACTGTGCAAAATTGAAATAATTAATAATTAACGTTATTATAGGCGAATGTTTAAATGGATGGATGTTTGTTTGAAGTTATCTAACGGCTGCATAAATCTCGCTGAAATTTGGCTTAGATTTAGAACATAATCTGGAAGAACACATAGGCTACTGATTGTATTTAATCCCGCGAGGACAGAGTCGCGGGCGACAACTAGTCTTTTATAAAATATAGTAATTAAAAAACGATTTTTTTTGAGAATCTCTTTAAAGGCACGCTGACAAAAGCCATGAAACACTCTTAAATCGCACTGTACGTATGATTAAGAACTTTAATTTCACGTCGAATGTATTGAATCTGCTTTTATTTACACTGGATACATAATTAAACGATGCTTGTGGAGGAATGTCTCTATAAAAATATTGTTGAACAAAATTGCCTGATCGTTGAAAAATAATATCCCTATTGCTTGGGAAATTTCTTTCAAAAAATTTCAATATTCAACTTGACGTCTTCGATCGCTATTGTGGTTAGAGAGGGGGATAAAAGGAAGAGTGGGTGGGAGGTAGTCGGTCAGCTTGATGCAGTAAATGGGTTAGTCCACGTAATTTTATATTATCGACAGAAACGTTCGAAAAATTGCTTTCAGAATGAACGTTAGCTTCGAATACATTTTTATAAATTTTTAACACTTTACAAACGGAATTCAAATCGATCCCGTTTTGCTTACCACCAGAATTTAATTGTAATTCAAGATTCATTACTAGTCTTACTATCTTACTAATATTATAAATGTTTGGATAGATGGATGTTTGTTTGAAGGAATCTACAGAACGGATGCATAGATCTCCATACAATTTGTCATAGATGTAAAACATAGCCTTGAAGAACACATAGGCGACGAATTAAGTTTTTTTTTAATTCCGCACAGACG